GTCTACAGGGGGAGTGGGCAATGGCGCGGAAGCTACTGTCGACGGGGGGGGGGGGTCGGCTGGGACGCCATGATGTGCCGGGGTGTGCCGTGGACGTGGCGGTCGACAGGGGAGTGGCGCAAACGCTCGTACCGTACACAAGAACAACCCCTTTTATTCTCCTGAGGCAAGTCTGAAACACGCGATGGACGGTTTTGCTGAGGCGCTCAAGAATCTTTTGAACAAGCTGGATTTCTTTGGCTTCATCATGTGCTTTACCAGTGTCTCGCAGACGTGATTATCAGTCAGCTCCACAGTTAGCTGCAGAGTTAGCTGCTGAACCGACGCTCGTCTACTTTTACAGTTCATCATTTTCAGCAGGTCCTTGTGGGCTTTCATGTCAGCCCTCATCATGTTGTGTGTCTGTGCCTCCACGGCTACATCAATATGTTCGAGCTTTTCAAAGACCTGCTGCGTCAGTGAATCAACGGTAACTTTGTGGAGGTTAGCTGCTATTGGATCACCAGTTACCCGGCTGACTAGCTTCTCCACTACAGTCCTGCAGCATAATTTGTCCCACCGATTTTGTGTGTCGGTCTCAGCTTGCACCTCTGGGATAGAGGCTGCTTCTGGCTGAATAGGCTCCGTTGTTGTTGTGACCCTTTCAATAACGACGGGCAACTCTGAGTTCCATGGCAAACTGAATGGAGTCAAAGTGTCAACAATTAATTCTCCAAAAGGGTCCATGTCAGGGTTCAAGACCTCAACCGGAGTTGAATAGTGGCTTTCCAGACTGGATGTACGTCTAAAGTCAGCAAATGGATTTTCTCCTTTTGAGGCAGTCGAATAGTGGTTTTCCAGACGGTGCTCTGGACTGCTGTCATCATCTTCGCTTTGTCTGAAACAGGCGATGAACGGTTTTGCTGAGGCGCTCAAGAATCTTTTGAACAAGCTGGATTTCTTTGGCTTTATCATGTGCTTCACCAGTGTCTCGCAGACGTGTTTATCAGTCAGCTCCACTGTTAGCTGCAGAGTTAGCTGCTGAACCGACGCCCGTCTACTTTTACAGTTCATCATTTTCAGCAGATCCTTGTGGGCTTTCATGTCAGCCATTATCATGTTGTGTTTCTGTGCCTCCACGGCCACATCAATATGTTGGAGCTTTTCAAAGACCTGCTGCGTCAATGAATCAACGGTGACTTTGTGGAGGTTAGCTGCTATTGGATCACCAGTTACCCGGCTGACTAGCTTCTCCACTACAGTCCTGCAGCATAATTTGTCCCACCGATTTTGTGTGTCGGTCTCAGCTTGCACCTCTGGGATAGAGGCTGCTTCTGGCTGAATAGGCTCCGTTGTTGTTGTGACCCTTTTAATAACGACGGGAAACTCTGAGTTCCATGGCAAACTGGATGGAGTCAAAGTGTCAACGATGAATTCTCCAAAAGGGTCCAATTCAGGGTTCAAGACCTCAACCGGAGTTGAATAGTGGCTTTCCAGACTGGGTGTCCGTCTAAAGTCAGCTAATGGAGTTTCTCCTTTTGAGGCAGTCGAATCGCTGCTTTCCAGACTGTGCTCTGTGCTACAATCAATTGCCCCTTCCGAAATGTCACATTTAACGTTAATGTCGTATCCATTAGAATGCTCCGTGAGACAGTTGATGGCCTTCAGTTTTTTAGAATTGTGACAGGACATTTCGTTCCCCATAAAAATGTTTTGTACAGCTGGTACATGCATGCCTAAAAACATTAAGTTCGACATTTTCTTCAAATTCACTTGTTTCCCCAAATTTTAACCTTGTACTTCAGTATCCTTGTACTCAACACAAAAAGCTGCCTCTCCTTTCTTGGTGTGGTTCGGAATGACTGATAAGATCAGTGGTCAGATGAAGAATAAACCTCGTAGCTTAGCAACTGTTGCTAGGCAAAGCATTACATCACTGCCCGAGAGTTCTTTGGTAACCATGGTAACTAGTTCCAATGTAATGTGTGATGTAATTTCTTATGATTTTTTTAAGAATCATCATGTTTTAACCAATTTTGAAAAAATAAGGGGTGGGGGGGTTGGCATGAGAAATTGGATGTGTGGCGGGAGTGCGTCACTAGAGACCGAAATGAGCCCTGACAATATGTCAAAAGAAGTGACATTCTATACTTACGGTTACAGTGAAATACATGATTAAAGAAGGAACAACCTGATAAAAACTATAATTTTTCTGATTCTACTCAACAAAACAACCTGGTACAGTTTCCCCTGCTGTCAGAAAGTAGAGGGACACAAACATTTCGACGTCACTGTAGGGTTGGTGGATTCTTTCTTGGTA